CACATCAAAGCCCACCTCCAAGCATGTGAACCTAAATTCCAGCTTCCAATTCTTAAAATCCTACATAAGGCTCAAATGTTTGTTTGTTTTTTTTTTACAGTGAAGCGAAGCACAGAGTTTGCAGTTCCTATCTATTAAAGAAACTTATCTAAGCTGAAAGCTTTGTGTTATTAGTTCTTTTGAACAAGTTGTAAAAGTACAAAGCTATGAATTCTTTCCAGCATCCACTTCCCTTTTATTTACTGAACAACATGCCATTTAAAATCATCTTTCCCATCTGGTGGATTTGAGACTCAGCAAATGATGACGTTCACTTGGTCCAAAGCTGTGTGGGTAATTTGAGGCAGAAGCAAGACTGGATCCTAGGTCCTTCCTCCCTCCAGGCCCTGTCAGTATAACCACCACCTTCCACTGTTTGGTTCCTCTGGCTCTGGCAACTCAAAAAAAGCATTGCTGCTTATGTTCAGGAGGAAAGTCTCACAGAAGGATTAACTGGTTTGTTCACCCTGCTTTCTGCAAAGAATTTTCATCAGCATACTCTCAGAGAGCGTTGTTCCCTTCCTTCCACCAAAAAGGGTTATTTATAATGTGGAAAGATGACACAGGGCTTATTCGCCCTTCATGCTTTGTGCCTCTGAGGGAGATCACTTCTCTCCCCTCTCAGGATCATCTGCTGAAGCAGTATTGAAAGCATCTTCTGTGCACAGGCTGGACCAATGTGGAGGCTATCATGTAATTAATCCCTTTGAATACAGTTTGGTCTCTCAAGGAAGAAACTTCTGCTCTGTCTCTTAAAATACCCAGCATCATTCTAGTGTCTAAAGAGAAAATCCAAATTGCCATGAAGAAAAGAGATTTGGTATACTTCTGGAACTGATATGGAAAGTCAGCATTTTTAGGAATATCACTGACCAAAAAATAATAGTAAAGAAAACTTTTTTTAAAAAACAGTAAAATCAGCGTTATTTGTTGAGCATTCTGGGTTGTGGGGGTTTTGCTTCCTTGCTTGTTTGTTTGTTTTGCTTTTTGCTTTTCTGACACAGGGCCTCGGTATGAGGCCTGTTATGGTCCTGTTATGACACCTAATTCCGTTCTTTTATGTCTGTACAAGTCAGGCTGTTGCTTCCATTCCATGAGCCAGGATCTTGACTCTGAAACCAAAAGACAAGACAGGAACTAATATCCCTCTTAAATACAGATGCAAAGAAACTTCAAAATTATTAACAGGCTGGGCATGAAACACATACCTGTAATCTTAGCACTTAGACAGGAGGATCACAAGTTCCAGGGCAGTCTAGGCTACAGAGTGAGATCCTGCCTCAAAAAAATTAATGTATTTAGTGCATCCGTTTACTTGGAGTGTAGCTTGTGGTGTAGCACACATTTGTTCTATTTGGGGCCCTGGGTTCAATGTCCGGCACACACAAAATCTTTAGCAGATGGAATCAAATAATATGCAAAAATAATTACACAGTATGGCCAACTACTCAAAAATTCAGGATTGATTTTATCAGTGAAAATCAGTTAAAGTCACACATCATTTTTATAGTGAGTACTCCATTTATTTATTAAGCTATATTTTAACTGTATTAATTAAAATACTATAATTATTACCATCTCGCCAATAGAATAGTTTATACTCAATGAATATTCATTAAATACAAATTTGAAATAACACAACTAAAAAAATATCATGCCTAAGGTGAAGGAACATTGCATCTAGATGCTTTAACTCAGCACATTCAGGACACATGGGAGCAAAACTGAAACCATGTTCAACAATATTAAATGTGATTTTCAGTGGCATCTTTTACAAAATGAGACACAGAAAAATGTTCTTGGTGTTCTTGGTGTTACCAGCTGTGTACCCAAAGTTTAATTTGGCGTTAGGCTTTGAAGGTTTTTATTATTAGTATTATTTTTATTTCATTTGTATGAATGTATTGCCTATGTGTCTAAGTGCAACCGGGTCATGCAGTGCCCTCAGAGGTCAGAAGAGGGCATCAGATCTCCTGGAACTGGAGCTATGATGGAGGTTGTTAGCCGCCATGTTTGTGCTGGGAATTGAACTTGGGTCTTCTGCAAGGAGCAGCTGGTGCTCATAACTGCTGAGCCATCTCTCCAGCCCCTTAAGTGGTTTTTTAAATAATAATTTTTTAGTGAATTTTTGTGAATTGCATGCAGTATATTTGGATCATATTTAGACTCCTTTTCCCTATTTAAGCTCCTTTTACCACTCCCCCCACCTTAATATATATTATATAGAGATACTATATACTCATATATTATATATACATATATGTTCATATAATATATATGGCATGCGCCCCAAAGCCCTGCTGTTTGAGCAGTTTCTGATCTAAAGTTTTTCTAATTTGGTTTTCATTTACAAGGGACATCTTTTCCTTTTCTTCTCTTTCAGTCTATA